GAGGCATCATCTTATTGGCTGTTTAACGGGATGGTAGACGGCACTGTGTGGGCTGCTGCTGAGCACTAACGGAAAGCACTGCCATGACACTGTTGGAATGAAATAAACAAGCCAGGCATGCAAATAACATTGCTTGAGACTAAAAGTCATATCAAAGGAAAGCATTTATTAGGTGCATAGCATGCAGCACTATTGTCTTTCATAGACACTGACATATTATTATCCCTGCACACTGGGCTCACAACATTTAAACATCTCAACTCCTTGCGGAGTATTCTAGCCCGATGATGCCATATCAGGTGCAAATGCCTGAACATAACCATATCTGTCCTCACAGGTAGCCATTTACTCCTGGATGGAGAGGGGCACATAGGGGTTATGCCCAAGGTCACAACATACTGCCACCAGCTGGGTTCGAACCCCCCAACCATAAGATTGGAAGTTACAAACCCTAACCACTAGGCCACATGTCTGAGCTTCATCTCCAATTTTCTTCTTCATTGCTTCACTTGCTTGTTTTCTTGGCAGATTTCTAGTGAGTTTCAATAAGCCCATGCGTGATCAGGCCCTTGCATTATGGGTAAGTCGAAAGAGTTAATATCTTGAAGGAAAGAGTAGCCATATGCAGAAATAAACAGAAATATTAGTTTTTCCTTTTTTTTGAGGATAGGGGTTTCTCAACCAAACTTGCTCTATCATGCAATTATTATTGAGCAGACTTACATGTATGTTTAGTAATGGATTATTTACTCTTGGCCAAATCATGTGCTGCAATAGTCCCTGATTACAAATTGTGGTCAAAAATAGCTATGGAAATATTCTTGTACCTTTCATTTAATTTTTATATTTTCAGCCCGATATCGATAGTAAACTGCATATCCAGCCTCAAGGTAAGATCTGTACATTAGCACTGCAGACTGTGCCAAAAAACCACTTGCCAAAGGCTGGTTCCTATGTCAGACAAAGGTTAAAGAAAGTGAGGCAATTTTGTTGTCATGAAACATTCACAGTGAAGTGTGAAGGTTAACTTGGACTTGACTTTTGTGAATTTGCAGCACGAATATCTGATCTGATGTCACAACTTTGCGTTCAGGCTCGCTTTCCCGTCAAGCATGAACCTTTGGTTGGAATGTTGTAGAGTTTAATTTTGCCCTTATCAAAGTAATGCTTATGTGGATGACTTTGGGATCCAGGTTCACTGAAATACAGGAACGGAGGGGGTCACGTCTCTGCGTGTTCCATTGTATTCCTATATATTAATGGACCTAGCCGGACCTGCCCTTGATTGTATTCTCAGTGCTCTCTCATCGTTGTGAGGTAAAGCTGATTCGGTGTGGATTTGAACCCACTACCCCCTGCTTCCTTGTGCAGGTTTCTTACCGCTTGATCTCTGACTTACGCAGATGAGCTTGCAGACTTCATTTACACAAACATGTCTGGGCCTAAAAAACGTATGAATTTTTCATTCCTTCCATTCTCTTCAAGTTTTTCTCGCCTCATCTTGCAATCACAGGAATTGTAACCTCTCCCTCCAGCCGTTTTGATTTTCACCAACACCTTCAAGCAACTTGTGGTATTCCTAAAGACAGCAGTGTGTTCCTCCTGGTGGCTGGTTTGAGACTGGTCAAGGATCCGTTGTATCTAGTCCACAAATTTTCAGGTACTTCACCAGACATTTTGCTGTTTCTTGGTTTCACCGGTACCTAGTTTCACTGTTCTGGTTACCTCAAGTAAAGAATTATTGCTTATTAAGCAGAAATGTATGGTGCTAACAGAGTTTGCTTATTTCGAGGGTTTGCAAGAAAATTTTGGCTTATTCGCACGTCAAAGTAACTAAAGATTGTGTGCTTACAGAGTTTGTACAAATGTTGTGTGCTAGTCTGGCTAGAATGGTAGTCATACATACGGGCTTGCATGGTTAGTGATACAGTGAAAGTTAGCAGGAGGTCTTGGGCAGAATTTGGTGTCAGCTTTGCTTGTGGTGACTGGTTCTCATATGTAACCCTGTTCATGTGTCTGCTTTGAATACCGACTTTTTTCCAAGCAAAGATAGGTTATCCCCCTCAAAATTCAATGCGTTGTGTACTGCTTGTGGTTGCCTCTCACCTGATCAGTCTGCATTTAAATTTGACAGTGATATGTTTGCTATGCAAGGGGCCTCAATCTAACTTCATCTATCTCTATTCCATTCAGAATGGCACTTGAAGCATGGAGATGTATACTTGGTGATAGTGGGCCCCAGTCTGGACCAACAGTTCACAGAAAAGGTCAAAACAACTGTTAAAAGGTAGGTGTTGGGGATTCCTTAGTAACCGGTAGATGCTTGGGGCATATATCTCCTTCCCTTATCCCATGGATTTTTAAAGTGTGTTAACACTGCTCTCTTCATTTTGGGAAAAGATTTGCATGGTTACTATACCGACCCTGCCGTTGTTTTCATATTTTCCCATGCATAAAAGCCCCACGTAGTAATTCATTTTCAGATGGAACTTATGCTCGGGTACTCTGTGCCATGGGCCTGTGAGCCAGTATGGTCACATTGTGTGTTTGCACCAAAGGGCAAGAGCCCTGGCTGCATTGAGTCAATTAGAGCAACCACCAGTCATTGCATTGTACATGTACTGGGATATGTTTTATGGCAACTTCCCCTCCCCTCAACTTGCCCTGCCCCGCCTCATTGGAGGGACCGATTTTGGACCACGGCAGACTACTCCTCGAACCACAGTAATGCTCCAAAGTCCTGATTATGACAGATGAATGATCATTAAATTGACTGACAACAAAAAGGAGAAAACCTGGGCCATTCTTGGTTGTTGTATGTCTTGTAGGCTTCCAGGGGTCGAGATCCTAGACCCTCTATCACAAGGGGACTGTCACAAAGCTATGCAGGACAGCACAGCATTGGTGAACTCGTCACTGAGTGAGGGCATGTCGACAGCTATCTTGGAGGTAATCAAGGGGAGACCCTCTTACAGATGATTCACCTTTGCTATTTTGGTTACGATTTTTCGTAACTATTTAGTTTCAGGTCACACTGCTAAAAAAGGTTTTGTTGCCTGTAGTGAACACATCTATTCTATTTTAGAAAGTCTCCCCGTGCAGTGCACTGCATCCTTCCAACACTGCCACACATCCACCTGTTATGAAGTCAAGCCCAATATGGGTTTCGGGAGCTACACCAGTGTCTATTCTCAGCATGTGCCTAAGATTTTGCAACTGGTCCCAGCTCAAGATACAACATGATGCAGCTTTAATGTTGGTATTGACTTTGATGAGGCTTACAGCTAGCCAATAACTTACCTTGAATTGTAAAACCTCCATCAAATGCCAGAAGCAACATTGTCACAGATTGAAGAGCGGAGGTAGATTTATGATTCTGGCAAGTCGTGGCTTATCTTGTCTCTTTTAAGCAGTCTTTGCTCAGCAACATCACCTTTTCATCCGATTATCGAGTTTCCTTGCTTGTTCGCTGAGTGCAATTAACCCCAATTTCCCCAAATCAGGCCAGTCATATTTCTGTCGCTCCATTGCATAATGCGCAATAACCTTTTCCTCAAGGATGTTTTTTGCAGGCCATGGATCTATGTGTGCCAGTCGTAGCACGTAGCATACCTGGTAACCGGACCCTCATCACACATGGACAGACTGGACTGCTCTACGAAACCCCACAGGTTAAAAAAGACATTTGTGAGTCCAGAGGGAAAAGAAAATGATTCTGCTATCTGTTGAGATTTTTCTGTGAAAGAATCTCAGAAAGTCAAGTGAATGTACTAGACTTTTTGGCACAAGCTCACAACGGTTGGTTGTATTGATCATTGCCAATAGCTGATTGCATTGTGATGTTTATCAGGAAGCTAGGGACTCCCAGATGACATTGTGGTTAACTAGAGGCTCCACTCTGTTTTAAGACACTGAGCTGGAAACATGCATTCATTGGCTTTCGGGGGGGGGAATTGAAAAATAAAAAAGGAAAGAAAAATAATGCAAACGAAATGAAAAAAAGAGTGATTTTAGGGGATAAAAATACACCAGATTGCTTGAAAAAGCCTCAAAATTGATCCCCTCCCACTGTCAATGATTTATTGTTTCTTTGCTAATGATTGCTTTGCTCCCCCCCCCCAAAAAAAATTGGCAATGCCAACACATGCATTCTTGTGTCTGGCTGTGTGCTGTAGCATTCCAGTGGTATATGAGACGCCGTGCTATATCAGACAGCTTATTTAGAATAGATTGAGACTTTGTATGAAAACAACACAATAGCCACAACCCTGCCACTTGTGGCCCTCGACCCAACCTGCCCTTGAATTGTCTCCATTTGTCAGGAATTCATCAGATTGGCTGATAATCTACTGGCATCACCGGACCAGCGAGCTGCAATCACTAGGCAGGCCAAGGAATTTGTGGACGCCCACCATTCACCTCAAGACGAGAGATGCACCTATGTCAGCCTTGTCAAAGGGATGGTGTCAGACCAATGGTCTGCTGCTGGTCAGGACAGATCCACATGAGGTCCACAGATCCACCAGAACTACTCACCGAGACCACCCCAGGCCAGCATTTTTTGATGTGTTGGAATACTGATGCGCTGGCTCTGAGTGAAACAGTTTTAGAAAACTGTATCAGTTTATTGTACTATCTGACTCGTTTTCACAATGTGGAACCTATGCAAAGTTTCTCAATCAGAGACTCTCTCAAGGCAGTGTTTAACATAAATCCCCCTTACCTTTAGAAAATTGTAAATCTGGTAGAAATGGAGTCACAGTGAGTCACACAAAAGAGAGTTGACTGCATGGGGCTTCTCTGATTTTCCACAGGGAAGTGGCAGTGATGTTGAAAAATCCACTAAAAATAATAACCAAAGAAATTTCAGGCAGAGTGATTTTGGGCATGTTTCCTGGAATATGTAACATTTTGCAGTGAGCAGATGGACAAGGAAAGAAGTGGGTACAGTGGTTTGCTTCCTCTACCCACCCACTCACTCTGTCTGTCCTTCTGTTTCCAAACCACCTGTGCTACATTTCTGTAGTCTTTATTGAATTTTGCTCAGAACTGTTTTGTGGAATAATCCTTGATTACTAGTGGATTCATATAGGGGCAAAACTTGTCTTTTTTTCAAAATGTTAAAAATTCTTATTTTTATAGCTTTTTTTGGGGGGGGGGGAATATTATAATATTCAAGTTTCCTCTTTTCTCCGCTGCAGCTGTTATTTCATGAGTGTGAGAATTAAGCTTTTTAGCTGATTCCAGTATTTTTTGTTCAGATGTCGACCCTGAATTTCAGCTTTTTGGTGCACCTGGTCTGTACAAAAGTATGGGAACTTTTTACATTTCAGCTTTTTGCTAGCAGTTTTCAGCTTAATTGAAAGTGGCCACTCAAAGCCCCGTATTTGATAACAGTTTGGACAAATTGTTACACCTATGAGCAAATGTACAGTAGGCCCTGTCCATCTATTTGGCTTTCACCTTCATTTCAGACACCCCCCTTTCTGACATGGATGGGTTCATCAGTGTGTATCCTTCTAAATACAGTGCTGTGCAGAAACCCAGTTGACCATTCTTTGGTCTAAAACATGGAAAGTAATGTTGGCCAGGCTTCTTCCTCAATCCCACAAAATCCTGCAAAATCTTTTTGATTTTGAAGGATCTGAAGGTATTGACTTAATTGACCAGTGAAATGGCTCCTTTTTGGCAATTTTAACACGAGCTAAAAAAACCCCAAACATTTAAGTAATCCAGCTTGCAATATTAATTATGTGACTTATTTCAAGTGGAAAACAAATCAAACAAATTCTTTCAAGTCATTCTACATTATCTGAACATCTTGCAATGCGATTTCTAATTTTCTTTTAATTTTTTTAAGCTAGCAGCTTCACATTCAGACAGACAAAGTTTCTGACACCAGTGGCAATATTTAATTACATTCTTGCATTCACTATGTGTACGAGTTGCAGTGTAGATTTCTTGGACTTTTTCAGAGTAATGCTATGGCATGTTGACATCAATCTTTTGCAGAATGACTCATTTGCAAATTTTATCAACTTACTGATAAATAATTAATCTTTGTGAACTTCTAGACTTGATATATCTACTTAAAGTGCCTTGAGCTACCTACCACGCTGTTGTAGACTGGGAGTTTTATCTATTTAAAATCTGGCAAATTTTTGTTTTTATGTTGTTCAATTATTTGATCTGAACTCTTACCAAAAGGCTTAAATCCTTTGATTTCAATCATGAGTCAGATTTGCACATGACAATGGCAGTATTATGAATCTCTAATAAATCACGGTCATAACTCACATGCGTGTTCTGTACAATTTATTACTTGTCCAGTGATATCAAAATGACAAGGACCGTAAATCTTGATAGACATGGAAATTGTCAAATTTTAGAAAGAAATAACATGCAGAAAATCAAGGAAACCAAACTTCCCTTACAATTACATGACCACAGCATCCAGGCTGATCAAAGAAAACTCTATTTACAAAATGTAAAATTCCAATTAATTAAAAACATAAGGAAATATGTCTCAGTGCGCTATCATTGGCTTGGAAAACATACATGCAATATTGCTTGAGATATTGCAGGCTCATTAGAAAAATAGCTAATTTTTCCAAAAATGCAATTAGAAGATAAAAAACTCAATTCTCCTATCAGCGTTATGCATAATTGTTATTCCATGTTGTCCACTTTAAGCAGGAATTGTTTATGTTGTTACTTCAGACAAATTTAAGTACATGTTGTACTTTTAGTAAAAATGAAATGGGTAAAACTTTATTCTTACAAGCTTTATTTTGACAGGTGTTTGAACTGATGTTGAGAACACTAAAAGAGTATCTTCTTCCAGTGGAAGAAGCACACCGCGTTGCGATAAAAGAAAATTGCCCTGAAGAAAAAGCACCATACTGTCGCAAGCCTTGTCCACAAATAAAGTTGTGTTATCCATCTTTTGAAAATGATTTTTGATACTTTTGGGAAACCTACGGGAATGCTGTCACGTGCCACTTGCTGCTTTGACAATTAAGCACATATTAAGGCGTTAGTTTAATTTGACAGCATTGAGACAGACCTATTATACGAGACTTAATGCTTGATACACGGTACTACAATGATTCGTAACGGTGCCTTGTTAATTGCGAGTTACAGTTTCCATAAAATAGACCCGTTTTTGTGTAATGCATGGTCCTCTGTATCTATGAACGGGACCAAGGGATGAACTCCGTATACGACATTTCGACAGGACCAGCTCGAACCCAGCAAAAGTAGAGCTTGACGGCAAGCACGGTTGGGGGAGGGGGCTAGGGGCCCCCCCAAAATTGTCTAGCCCCCCAAAATGCAAAAATTAAAAAAATATATTAAAGGGTGGAAAAGGTTGGATTTGCAGTGGAGAAAGAGAAAAGGTGTCGTCACGTGCGAAGGGTCTAGCCCCCCCATGGCTGTAGAACTTCGCAAGCTCAGTGGATAAATTAAATTTGTAATAAACCGGCGCTAATTCACAATTTAAAATGGCTGTCTGTGCTCACTTCTACGTCTAAATTAGGTTTTGCCTCGCAGCTCAGTTCCGTAAAATTAAAAAGGACATCACATGGGAATCTAGTAACATCAGAGAATCCCGTCGCATGACTCCAGAAGATGAATGGCGCCCTCACTGACATTTAGGCCTAGATGTTTGGACAAAAGACAAGGTACTGGACATTGTCTTTACCTATCGTTCAGCTTGTGAGGATTGCAGCAGCGGCAGCAGGGAATCTGACTGTAACCATCATCCGTAGTTTAACATTACTGAAAGTTTTTACACCATTAAGGTAGTACTTTGCTGGCTGAGTAATTTATTCTTCATAAATTTGACAAAATGGCCACCGCAGAGGATTCGAAGAAAGTAAATTGGTAATCGACCTTGCATCACGAGAAGCTCAATCAAGCTGTCGAGGAATCAGACAAACCGCCAAGTTTTCGTTTGCACTGTTTTTTTTTCACTCCGCTGAGGGAACTCATCATGATAGTTTCCTTATTTCTGTCTCTTTCATTCCACCGTGTGAGCAACATCGTCACCGGTGAACACCCGCGCGAAAAACTCCTTGGCCAGAGGCGCCTCCAACATGATAGTGATGGTGCCCACAAAGACACCACAGAGGAAGACGATGAGGAAGATACGATCTACTACCATGGCAACGTATTTCCAGTCCTCTTTCGCCTGTATAAAGGAGATGAAAGTATAACATTTCCAGAGTGGTACCCTTTGGAGAAATCCATCTTTTTCTAGGTTTGTTCTGTTAATGATGGGTTGCCAATGGTTATTTTGCTTTCCTATTTACATCCATGATATTATTTCAGCGTTTGAAAACGAATCACAGATGCATCTGGCACAGATGGGAAAAATACATCCCTTTGAAACAAATTAGGGTACAGGTTTCCTTGCTTATTCATCGAAGACTTCTTACCCGGACCATATCATCCTCGTTGTGGTACCTTGACGCCATGTACATGATCTCCTCCACCGCCCGGTGCACGTTCATGGCCTCGGAGGGGTCCGGGTCGTGATTAGTCGAGGGTAAATACCGGCTGGTCCGTCGAGACTCCTGACCCACTGGCAGGAGATAGAAGGGGTGAAGATGGAAAAGCTGTTGATTATAATCTAATAAATAAATATTTAATATGAAGCGGGGAACAAATCATATTCCAAAGTCTTTCTCGTGAACGGAGGTGGCGTCGACATAGCATAGAGCGGAGAAGGACTGTGGAAGCTCTACAAGTTTTAGAAAGACTTTAAAATTGTCTCTCAATTTATCTTCGATATCTCATTATGTTTGGCTTGGTTTGTACAAGCCAGATATATTCCCACTTCCTGTTCGATATTGAAGACATTATGTGCCCGATTAGAAACTGTGAAAGTGGGTCTGCTATCAAATTCTATCGAGACTCTACAAGCAATGTGTTTATTCAAACATTTCAAGCACAGTCGCATGGAAAATTGGAGGAGGGCAATTCGATAACTCCGAGACTTCGATTTCGCCTTTTACATCTCGGCATTTGGCGAATTCGCGACCGGTGTTAGTTTACAAAGCACATCCCGCAGTCTCCGCTTTCCCGTGTTCATCTCGTCCATTCATCAGCGCTCTCCGGCGCCAAATACACACGCGGTCCCCCAAACGCGAAGTTTACGAAATTAACAGAAATGTAATACTGTCTTTTGCCAAAGGGAAAACAGATTTAACCAGTGACAATTACTGGTCTTTCGATGTTACCGCAATTCATTCCGAGCAGGAGCAATCCTTTACAATTCAAGGCGTGGTTAAATTGACTGCGTTTTGCCAACGGCTCCATTTAAATATCTGTCTCCCACTATTACATCCAATACACCACTCTTTAATGAAACACTCTGATCCGAAGCGATTGCTTTTCTGAGCTGACATATTTGTGTTTTGTTTCCCCTTAGGGGACTTCTAGAGTGTTGGCTCATAAGTGAACACTGGACAATATTTTGCAATAATGATAGTGCGTATAAGAGTTGTGCACAGGCCTTTTGACAATCGTCTTCACGTTGGACCAATGTATATGAAATTATGCCACGAGTTATCGAGGTAGAGCCCTTGTTGCGTTCAGATATGAAGTAGCTCATGACGTTATCAGTTCGGTTCTGACCCGTCTGTATTCAGTGGTTTCTTTGAGGGTGGCCGCATTATTTTCACTGAATTTCCTGTCTAATCACTGAATGTAATATGTATGAAGTCCGTTCACACTGGCGTCATACAAATTTAAGTTTCGATTCGCCAAGTTCGACACTGAGTCGCGCCCAAAACTTGGACACGTGTATCTGCTGCGGCCAGGTCATCATCCTGGCCAAAACTGTAATGGCAAAGCCACAAAATACCTGATTTAGACGGGGCCTGACATATTAAAACGGGGACCCCAAGGAATTATTATGGGAGATGTGGCATGTTCAAAAGGCTGGTGAAATCGGCCTATTTGAGCACAGTTTACCCCAAGCCTTTATTTCATTTTGAATTGGCCAAGAAAGACCCAATTTCGGCGAGACTCAAATATCCCCTGGCCAAGCATCTCCCGGGCCCAGCCGACTATAAGGGCATTCTCTCGTTGTGGCAGACATAATACTTTGGTACAATTCCAGATGGGTCAAGATTGTACAAGCACAAAAGTAAACACATTGATCTCATCATCCTGCGGCTTAGATCAGTGTGCTCGTCGTCACCCGTCTTGACAGATGTAAATCCAGAGGGGGATGTTATTTATCGAGACCACTCATCAGAGACAGGACCTTTCTGAAAGTACCGCTCGCAAATTAATTTACCGTCCTGGCATCGTGGTGCTTGTCTCGTCCTCGTTTTACTCGTGCGTATAGTAACTGCTCAGTGTACAAGCCCTTATTCACATTTTTGTCGTTCTGTAGATGGCATTACGTCTCGATGACTGACACACGTACAGTATTACTTTTAGTGGCGGAATGGTAATTACAGTGGTTTCCTGTCTGTCTGGCTTATAATGTTTACCAATCTAGGGAATCCTATAGAAGGCGTAATGAAAGGCCAATTTACAAAGGCCCACTCTCCCGTAAGGGCCTGTGCACGGAAGCACAGTAATGGGTGGCCGAAATTTCGAACTCCGTGATTTTCTATGTGACAGTAAGAACCGGCAAATCACGCGATACATAGGGCAATTAACTGAAGTGTTTAGAAACCGGAATGATTTCTTCACAAAACTTCACTGAGAGGGCGCGTTTTAGCCAATAGTATTTTATAGGTATGACGTCACAGACTGTTTGGTATGACTGAGCATGTCCTCATCATGCCTTTTATTCATCCTGCGGGGCGCTATTGTTCTTGTGAAACGTCAGGAACAAAATAATTTTGCACACAGAATGAATTTCCGCCAAATGTGTACATGCAAATTATGGCAGGACATCTCTGTCGCTTTCAGTCTCGTCGCTCGTTTGTGTAAATAGCTATACTCGTGACGTTATCATCAGTAAAACCTTTAAAGCGTTGGATTAGCTGCATCGCACAGAAGACAACAAAAAATTGTCACTGTGTTTTTTGAAATCGATTTGAAAAGTGGTTAGCAACATCTTTGGTTTTGATGTTGCACTGATGTTTCAGTACCTGGACTGGTCCTACGAAGTCCGTTGGAACTGGACGGCGTGTCTGTCTTGTTGGCTGCCGACCCAGTGGCGGCCCAGTACGTGGGTGTAAGGGAAAGAGAGGGGTGTCTGCTCCCGCCAGCGTCACCGTTGGCGTTCACTTCTGCGTGTGAGGCAGCAATAGATAACTATTTAATTACAAAATCAGACCTTCACTTTCTCTCAGCAGTTTGATGGATGGTAGGATATAATGTCCCGCGATGAAAAAATAAGTCGTGAGAAATGAATCACGGAAAATCAGGCAACCTAAAATTCAATGAAAATTAATGGCAAAATTGCGGAAAAGATAAATGAATTTCCTTATTACACTCAATAACCCACGAACGTTCTCCCTTCTGGACTTGCTCTGGAGAAAAAGATGCACGGTAACTTTTCGGCAGTTCAACGATCCTATGTCCAACTTCTTTCAATATTTACCCCTTAGGGTCGCAACATCAGGCAAATATGAAAGCGAAGCAAATCTGACGTCACTGATGATTTCAGCAAAATTTCATTCGAGTTGAAACGTGTGCAACTTTTGCGAATTCGCAGCGCCAATATTTGATCTGACGTCACAAATTCGGGTTTGGGTTCACTTTCGCACCAAGAACGTCAGACCCTTAGTTATGTTGTGTGAGAAGCATTTGCCTGATTTTACCTGGAATAGCTTCACCCTCTGAGTCCGTCTCCAACCCATTCACGTCACGGTCCACCTCATTGCGCAAGCGCACCGTGTAATTATTGCCTTTGCTCTCCATAACGAGTTTCTTGGAGTCCACGTATTTGGTCGCGACGGCATCTCTCGTCAGCGCCACGCCCACATGGCGGTACCGGAGGTTGTACCGCTCTGGTCTCTTCAGCGCTATGTACTTGGGAAGGACGTTGATAAAAAGCGTCCGGACCCAGTTTGGCATCTTGTGGGTGTGCGGTGAGCGGTACCTGATATTGAGGACAAAAACAGTCAAGATGATGGAGGAAGACACCACGACCATGGTGAAGAGAAGGTACTTAACGATCAGGGGGAAGTTGTTGCCCGTGGGCGGTATCCTCTGCGTCACCAGTAAGAGGAACCAAGCCATGGAGAGCAGCACCGAGGTGCACAGCGACATCTTCTCGCTGATGTCCGGTGGCAAGTAGAAGACTAAGACGGTATTGAAGGAGATGAGCCCGCAGGGCAGCAGCAAGTAGGCGAAGTAATAGAGCGGCATCCGGCGCAGAATGAAAGTGCAGGTGACATCGACGTAGACTTCCTGACAGCACAGGTAGCTGATAACGTGCCGTTCGCAGGGTGACTGAACGATGGTCCACTCGCCGTTCTCCCAGTAGTCTTTCTTCTCGGCGCTGGGGCTGGATGGTATCAGGTCGATCTTTCCCAAGTCGTAGGTCCAGGAGCCGAACTTCATGGTGCAGTTCTGCTCGTCGAAGGGGAAGTAGCGGGCGTCAATCTTGCAGGAACTCTTATAGACGGCTGGCGGGGACCAGTTAACAGTGCCGTTACAGTCCACACTGGCCCAGGCTCCAGTCTGCATGTCAAATGAGCCGTTGGCGCTGCAGTGGTAGGAGAGACAGAGAATAACATGAGACATTACTCAAACAATCACGTCTAAGAAGATCTTATTCTACTTTCATTTCGCTATAATTCCCATGGAAAACTTATTAAAAATGTTACTGGAGAGCAGAAACAGTTTTACTCGTCATTAATTGTGAGGAAAGTTAGTTATGTTACCAAAGGCCATTGCTGTGTCAAACAGCATAAAATATTAGACATCCACGTACAGTACGAAAGAAACCCTCAAAATACTTTATTGCATCCACAACTCTGTACTATATTCAGTTTGTTGTGTAGTCTAAGTTCTTTAGTGTTAATGTGCAGAGAAATGTGGAAGCTACGTTTAAAGAAAGATATTTCCTGAGCATTTCAAACAACTAACGCGAAACTTTAGGGCTATTGCGCCCCCAAGAGTCAGACATCGGTTCCAAAAGCGTAATTGTTTGGATACAAATCAACACGAGTCGTACTCAAACAGCACTTCAGACAGAGACCCACTTGTTGTAAATGAGTATGTCAGGAATCCATATAGCGTCACTTGGTACTTTTATCCGCTCGATGCCTTCGAAGTGACTGGGTTCCCACTTGAGATTGTAGTCATTCCACACCTGTGTTGTAAGCAAAGGAGAATTCATCTTGATATCCCATTGGATATGAACAAACAGCACGAAGTAGATGAATCTGACGTTGAGTGATGACGTTCATTAGCAAGGATGGGGCTACAAGGTAAATTGTTGGCAAAGAACAGCGAAAGCGTCTGTCAGTCTGCCTCCTCCAGCCTGAGGACTGTCATTTTTTTATTTGCTCTGCGTGTTCTAAGCCTACTTAGATTATGTTTTTGAACTCTGTTCACAAACCCTATTGATGGAGCTAACTTGTAATGAGACCTGGTGTCAGTGATATGGAACTGCTTAAAATCAGAGAAAATATCTAAAATGCCATGTGTGTTATGTTGCTTGGTAGTGTCTGTGGGTTCCCGGCAAATTGATACTTAATCGGAAAATTTGCCAATTAATGATCTCTGCTGAACAGCTCTGGAAAATTATGCTAAGGCTGTATATGCTGGAATTGTAAGACGGAAAAAACGCTGAGTTATGAGAGGCAACAAACATCAAATCGCAACACGAAGGCTGCATGTTCTGTAATTTGGTATGCCTGAAACATCTCTGCAGTGTGGGCGTTTTTAATTGTCAGCATCCTAGCCTTTCTGGAATTAGGCATCAGTCCTTGCGCCATCTTTCTTCAAACACAATGTGGCGGTGGTGGCCTGAAGTCTTTTTGAAATAGTATTGAGTTACCAAGTAAGTCTAAATAATTAGTTTCACCACTTCCGTACAGTTTAAGATGAAACGAGTCCAACACGTACAGAGCACGTCACCTGATGTTACCTGTGACGCCAACCTTTAAGGTTTGCATTTTTGCGTTATCTACTAATCGGAAAGAGACATCAGAGGCGATAATCATACCTGTTGGACCCACACTTTGGACGTGAGAACCTGGTTTCGTTCATCCTGTGTGAAAAACAGATGCATTGTTAAAACCAGTAGCGGTTTGTGAGGAAAATTGAAGCACTGCAACCTTAGTCTCTATAAGGGGCCTATAATAAGATGTCTTTAACTGTTTGGCCGGTCGCGGGTTCAATCAAGTTTTGGCTTATGGAACGTATTTTATGAATAAAATTTAGAAGTGCCTGCAAAATGATCCCACCAATAATGAAATTTAAAAAACCTTAAACCTATTACCAACACCGGCATGATTCGAACCTCAAAGCCCCTGACCTTTGGTCCAAGGCCTTATCCGTTGGGCCACGGGGCCTCAAACATAATCATACCAATAATTAAACCACAAATAAATACGTCGAAAAGAAAGAAAAAGTATTTGCAGAGCGA